GATGTCTGCTCTGGGTCAACTTGATTACTGTCTTAGAGAGATGTGGAAAGCTGCTGTTCTTTTCTAGTGTCCATTAGTTGAATCTCAAAGCAGTGTTTCTGCTTTTGGAAGAAGCAGCACATTTTAGTTGAAACTATTTTGGTACGTGCAGCAGAGGAGTGACTGAATGAGTGTGTTTCTGATCCTCTCTACCGCTAATGCAGAAGAAGAACAAGGAAAAAGTATTTATTTTGGCCATTGCTGATAGCAATTCTGGTATTCCAGCAAGCTGATTCCTTTTGGTGTTGAAGTATTTGCAGCTTCTGAGCAGCTTTAAACACCTACTTCAGAGTGGATCTTTGAAATTCATCAGAGCAGAAGCCTTAGGGTAGAAATGTGCTTCCTTCTCTTTCTGTCGCATTCTAGTCAAGCTTTGCTGAAAAATATTATTTACTTCTAGATATCAGTTTTTCATTTCATGTTTGTATTCTTCAGGAGAATTGTCTATATGCTGAAATTAGTCAACATAAATATTCTGAAGTTGGGCATATGCAGGTTTCAAAGCAGTATGGAGAGCAAGCACTGTACATCACCCACATTCATTGTAAGAGAAGASATGGAGGAAATTGTAGTCTGATCCATATTACAGTTAAATGAACTAAAATGTTACCTTTAAAAGGTAATTATTATAACTTCTTTATTAAATTTAAAAGTTCTGAGTTACACAAAAATTTTCATTAAGGTTTGCTAGGAAATTGTTTGTCTCATAGATGTACTGTTGGGTGAGGTGGTAGGACTTTTTTTTTTTTACTGTTAAAAATTCAGTTTTGTTCTGTGCTGAGGTGGACAGAGAAGGTGCGGGGGACAGACAGAGCTAAGGAGATCAGGTGGATTACTGCCTTGAGAAGAGGTGGGTTCTAGTACCCCTTGTGTCCTGTTCCTGCTGGTCTGTATGCTTTAGCTCTTGTCTGACAGTGCTGTGAGCCAGYTCACTCATGTAGCAGCAGAGTTAATAGATTTCTGCTGAGCCATTGTGTTGCTGTGCAGTAGATGAGCATCGGTCAGTAGCTGCAGTGGTGCAGGACCCTGTGCCAGGAGCAGTGACAGACGAGCGTGGGGGCTTGGATCATCTGGCAGTGAGCCCATACATTGCTCAGCTGTGTCATATCTGTTGGAGGGCTGAACTAATAATTAGGAATTTCTCATTTTTTCAGTCTTCCAATATACAATTTAGTTTTATCATAKAAATGTTTTTTCTTTCAATATGGTGTATGAAGTATCTAAAAATAATTTTCTGAATGTATRTCATTTGCTGCCAGTGGGGAAATGAAATGGAGATTTGGACAGAATTTGTCTTRTATATGCAGTAGCAAAAGCTCATGTGAATTTGAAAAAGGCTTAAAATAACTAAGAAGTTTTTAAAGTCGTGTTTCCTAATTCCTGCTTGAAGTGGTTTTAGAGAACTAAGTTTTACTCTTGTTGGTATGCATTTTTTTTCAAACTCTTTAATTCTAGTAATGTTTTGGAAAAAGCCTGTTTGGAATCCTTTTTGTCTTCTGATCGCTGTGTTTCAAGACTTTTTTCAACTTCAGTGGCATCAGTAGCTCAGACCCTCAAAGAAGGATTCACGTTTTGTCTCCCAAGGATAGACACGTAGCATTTTTCTCTTCCAGCTGCAAGTAGCAGTTCAGGGGGCCTTGCTACGTTCCATCATAGATCTTCTGGTGGTTATTTTTGTTATACAGCCTTTTGTTCTTYCAGTGGTTGTTGCTCTCTTTGTTTCCAAGTGTTTCAGAATTAAGGCTGATCTCWGTTCCATCCTTTTTATATATAGAAATCCAAAAAGTTCTGTGGAAGAGAGTTGCACTCAGAAGTGAGAGGCTGTGGGAAAATATTGTGCACATCATTTTTGCAACTTAGTGTGATTTTAGAATGTGTACAATGAAGAGTTGTAATACTTGATATATATGTAAATGACATAACCCATTTATCTTGTGTTCAGAAGTAAAAACAGTCTGTATTGAAATCAATGTATTTAATGCTGAGCAGAAAATTTCTTTTATATACCTGAAAAAATAATTATTTTTGTCCTCTGGTTAAGAACTTTTATCCTTTGTGAAGGTTTTGTAGAGATGGTTTGAAAACAGAGGGAATGATAAACATTCTTCATTTTAAAAACCTTTTAGTATAATTTCTGAGGTTTTAAGTGATTCCAAAGCTTTAAGTGACACCAGCTTAAATAAAATGTACTCTAACARCTGGTTTTGAAGATAAACCTTTTCAGATATGTTCATGTGAACTTTGCATAATTTGAGACTGATTTACRTTCCATCTGTGTTTCTATCTGAAAGGCACCACTTCTTTGAAGACCATGGTTGTGCTCTTTTGAGTACTGCTCACTGATGATTAGAATGAGTCAACTATTTCATTGGAAGGGACCTACAATGATCATCCAGTTCAACTGTCTTACCACTTCAGGGCTGACCATCTGCCTTCTTTGTACTGTAGGAATGGAAGTCAACAATTTTTATTATTTTGCACAGATACAGATTCATACCCATGTTTTATATGAGTACCTTACATTTCAGCTGTTAATGATGGAATGTGGTTTAACAGATGGATGTTCAGCAGGAACATACAGATGCTGATCTTCAGCTGTCTTAARATTTTCTTTGGTGATTACAAACATKCTCAAGTAAGAGAGACCGATTTGACTCTTACCACAGCAAATAGCTTTTTGCTTTGAAGTTTTGTTGACATTTATATTACTCTGATTGGACCCCAGTGAATATGATTTCCRTCCTTTCCCTGTCATGCATTAAGCTCCAGATCTRAGTGACTAGTTCTGACCAAAATTTGAGGTCCATTTGAAAAACAAGTGAAATGGGTTGATAGGTAACTCCTACTTCCCCCCTGCATCACTTTGCTCCAGCATTTGGTGCTATAATTCCATAGTTTGTATATTCAATACTGCAGAATGCTTGACTTGTTTGTGATATCCATCAGTATGGCAACAAATTTTCATATTTAGAGTGAAACAATTTTAAAATGTTAAGTTGAAGCATTTTTAAGCATTTGAAATACTTGTATACTCAYGGATGCTTTCTGGTTATGTATTCCTGCAGTCAGGAGAAGGGGGAAAAATGTTCTGAGTCCGAATCTTGAGACTTGGATTGAGATTTCAAAGCCTGCAATATGTAACTTCCCACTGTCATAAACCRTTTCTTGGTTTTTATTTCTCCTTGAGTGGAACCTGTGCCATGTTGACACCATTACAATAGCCCAGAACGCGAGCAGTTGGTGATTTTTGTCACGTGATGACATTTCACTGAAGTACCCTGCCACCCTCARTGAGCTATTTTCAGGATTTCTCTAAGGTTGAGGTAGTTAGTTGTACATGTGCTGATGCTCTTCCTGGACTTTTCATGCCCACTAGACTTAAAGACTCTTTTGACAGAAGGAAGATAGTAACAAAGAAGTGGTCAATATTTCATCTACCAGATGAAACATTCCTGTTGCAGAGGTTTGATGCTGGGCTTACATTTAATTTTGCCTAAGAAAGGACAGACTTCCAGGAATGTACTCTCTGCCTTTTGGCAGTTGAACTTAGCTAAAAGTGAAGTTGTGTTCACAGAGTATGCCATGTTAAATTTGATTGTGAGTGAAGGGAGTCTTTGTAGTTATTGACTGTGTGGATTAGGTTAAGAAATCCTAGAGCYCATTTCCTTGTTTGGACTAAGTAAGAAATGAAGTGACCTCAGGCACTTCTCCTTCCCTTCTCTGTGAGAAAATACAATCGAGGGAGATAACTAACTCTGCCACCACTTCAGGAATCCCAGAGGTATTTAGCTCCTATAACAAACCTCAGGAGGCTCAGAGACAAGTGTCTTAATTGCTTGTTCTCCTTTCCAGTATCTGCAGCTTCCATGTCCAACCTCTTAATCATCAGTGAGAATTTGTGATGCACCAACAGTTGTGGTCTCTTTTATTTTTTTTTTAAGGCTTCTTGAGAGTTTCTTGGGCTGAGGATGGCAAGCTTAAAATAGTCTACTGCAGGACAGTAGTAGAGACTGGATAACTTAACTCTTTTGGATTTTAGATTGCTTAGTCTTGCATTGAAATACACAATTTTTTAAACTTCTAAGCTTCTCTGTTTGAATGTGCTGGTCTTGAATGTGTTGGTCTTGAATTTGTTCTGAAACATACCCACTAACTTAATTTTWCTGTGTGCTAAATTATTTTGACTGCTTGATCTTAGGGCAGTGTAGTGCTAGAAGTTTTTTTGGCTACCACTTTTATTACTTGCAAAAAAACCTGCCTCACTCATTTAAAACAAGTGAGAACATTTACCTTGGGAATCACTTGAATAYATTATACCCCAATGAATAATTTCTGCCTTTAGGACGTTACTGTTTGTTTTCACTTCAGCTTCCATGTTACGTGAACTTGAAGCTCGTTTCTGTTTTATGAGCGTTGTTTTTTAATGTGTCTTTTGTTTTAATTTTATTTTTTAATATTTATAGAGTTAGTTTTTAGGTGTTCCCACATGTCAACAAAGTTTGTCTAGCTGTGAAAGAATGTCCATCTAAAGCCCATCAGACAAGCTGGGTTCTGGCAGTGGCATCTTGTGAGCAGGATGCTGCTGCGGRTTGATATCCATGGATGGTTTGTAAACCCATTGTCTGGCAGTGTTGGACAGTTGTCTTGTGATGTTTCTGGGACAGTAAATGCTAATGACCAGATAAARGGAATGATGGGCTGTGACTCATCAGGAAAGCAGCCTTGGGAAACTTGTGTTATGTCCTTCCCTTGTTGTCTCAGCTTATTTATCAGTCATTATGTGACCATGGCAGGTGTCTCTTTCTCTCCTTGCGTTTGGTAAAATACACGTTGTGACCCTTGCGTTGGTCTCTGATCTTTGTGTGCCATAGTGAGGGTTTTGGTGACTTTGAATCCCAGTCTTTAAATACATATTTTATATAYAAACATCCTTAAGAAATCTTTTTTTTAACTCTCAACAGGTGGGAAGGAGAAACCAAAAACCAATGCAGAAGAGCTACAGATTAAAAAAGTTAAGAAGAAAAAGAAAAAGAAACATAAAGAGAACGAGAAGAGGAAGCGTCCAAAAATGTACAGCAAATCCATTCAGACCATCTGCTCAGGATTGGTTTCTGATATTGAAGATCAGGAAGCCAAAGGCATCAYAGATGATCATCTTAAGGATTTCAATGGGAAAAATATGGATCCCAAGAAGGACTGTGAGTCCAAGATACCAGAGAACAGTGAGTTTCCATTTGTCTCGTTAAAGGAGCCACGGGTTCAAAATAAACTCAAAAGGTTGGACACATTGGAGTTCAAACAGCTGATTCATATTGAGCACCAGCCTAACGGAGGTGCATCAGTTATCCATGCCTACAGTAATGAACTCTCCCACTTGTCTCCTGTGGAGATGGAGAGATTTGCAGAAGAGTTTGTGGGTCTGGTTTTTAGTGAAAATGAAAACTGTGCAGCTTACTATGTAATGGGTATTGTTCATGGGGCAGCTACTTATTTACCTGACTTTTTAGACTACTTTTCATTTAATTTTCCCAATTCACCAGTGAAAATGGAGATTTTGGGAAAGAAAGATATAGAGACAACGACTATGTCAAATTTTCATGCTCAGGTAAGAGGTTATACATTTTACTTTCTAAAGTCATATAATGGTTTCAAACAATTGTGAGTTTTTTTTAGATTAGTTGCTAATAGCTGTGCTATGTRGATGATACAGAAGACTAGAAACAAGGGATTTTAAGTAAGAAGTACGTCCTGCGGTATTGAAGATGAGAAGAGAGAAAAATTTGTCAACTGAGACATAAAATTGGATTTTTTGGGGGAGGGGAAGTGTTTGCATGCCGTGTGTGTAGGTTTCTTCTGGTTTGTTTCTGTAGCTGAAGTTTAACCATGAGTTTTGGAGGGTTTAAAGGGTTTAGTTGTGGCTTTCTGGGTRTGTGTACCATAGTTATCTGTATGAACTTTGTCATAAAACTGAAATGCTTTAATACAATGTTACACATAAAACCTGTGTAGGGCACAGTTAAATTAGCAGCATATGTAGTTTGGGCTTTCTAAATTTATCCTTAAAGGAGAACTTGGGGCTTAATGTGGCTACTGATTCGGTCCTTAGCCTTTTGCCTTTTTYCTCTCTTGGTTGGATTCTCTGTAAAGCTCTTAAGTTAAATGGAAGAATACCTGGCAGGTTCTGAATATTTTTTTTATTTTAAATTTTTTGATGAGAAATGACAGTAAACTCTCTCATCAACAGTTGCTGATTAAACACCACCTCTGCTGTTTATTAACTTGCTATWGAAAATACATTTCTGTTGCACAGAAATTATTTATAGTACTGGTTTTCAGGAAAAGAACATCTGTCAGATTTTCACCTTGGTGATGAGGTTATTGCATAAAGCCCCTACAGTGAGTATGAAACAATTATGAAGAAACTCAATCTTATTTTTAATTATATCAACTTTGTCTCACAATTATCCTTTTAACTCCCTTATTTGTGAATTTTGATGTTGTATGGATCAGCTTTAAACTAGACTGAAAGTCTTCACTTTTGAACAATTACRAAGAGTTCAAGTGTTACAATGTCATCTTTGTGATGAAAAAYKKGGKTTTTTWTTTCTTTTGGCTGCATAAACAGTTGCRTAGAACACTTGCACGTATTGACAGATTTCAACTGTKTGCTATCCACAAGGATATGCAGAGCTAAAATGTTGCTGTAAGAGAACATTTGCAGTGCTGGTTGAGAAAATAGCTACTGCCATGGAATATGAATATTCTGTGAACTAGAGTCACTGTTTTTCTTGAGTATGTAAACTGAATCATTAATAATAAAAATCATAGAACATATCATGGGCAGTTCTCCAAAGCTACTCTGTCTTTGGCCATTTTATATAAGAAAAGCTGGATATGACCTTGTAAATACGTTCCTTAAATGCAGCTTGGGTAGCATTWGCACAGGCATGGCTGTGTGCTAATACCTGCCCTAAAGAAATAGTYAAGAAAAGCCCAAATTTTGTTGTTTTCAATTGTAATAGAATTGTTTTACTAAAATAATAGATTAAATTGGTATTACAGCAGTAACATCAACATCTGTACTTAAGTGAGTCCTGTGTTCATTGGGGTTGAAATCATAATTTCCCCTTTTTGTGGAAGTGAAGGAGGAACAAAGAGAGGCTGTGGCAGATTAAAGAAGCCAATCTGTGTTATTACAGCATTCAGCTGGTCAGCTCCATGGTCTGTCTTCTAAGCTATATTTTACTTGGCTAGAGGTTTAGTTCTGGTATCTTCTTTTCCTTTGTATTCTCTCTTTTTTTTTTTCTTAGTTTTCATGGCATTTTATAATTTCTCATTTTATTTGCTTGACAGAAAATGCTAGGCTTCTTGTGTTTTTGATAACTAAGGGGTATGTGGTATGTAAATAGCATGTACTGGCAAACATCAGATTTAAGTTTTCTTTTGTGCAGCATTCCTGTTTCCGGGAATATTTAAGTTAGTATCTTGGTTGCCTAGTTATTCAATCTATTTTTCCTTATAACTTCCTGTTGTCTTACTTTGGCTGTTTATGAAGGTTTTTTTTTTTTTTAGTGTGGCTTGCTAGAGTTGAAATGTTTTGTTAGCTTTGTATTGTCCTTTCTGACTTGTTATGTTTTGTGYAGATTGAGAAACATTCTCCTGTCTCAGTAAGTTCTTTGTGAATCTTTTAAAGCGATTCTAATACTGTGTTGCAGCATATTTTGATGAAACTTTATATGTATTTAGTTTTCTGTTCCTACATTGCCCACTCTTTGTACTGTGGTATTGCTTATCCCGAGCAATGTGTAGCAGTTGTTGTATAGCCTCATTTGAGGAAGGAGTTGTTTTCTGAGCTCTAAGTAGAAAGTTGGTTTTATCAARTCTGCTTTGAGTATGTTTTGTTGGACTTTATCACTCTTAAGAAACTTGAGTATTTCTTCGCTAATTTTAATGAAGCTCAMTTTGGTACAAGAAGCTCTTTGGTGGTTTCTCAGAGCTCATGTAACACATGTAATCAGTCTGACAAGTGTAAGTATTTTAAAAGATCTAAAAAAGTATTATAAAAAGGAGAAAGAAGGTTGAGCTAAGCCTRAAATGGAAAGTATTATAGAGTGTTTTATCAGTTTTTATTTTTCAAGTTAATCCTTTTGGTACTACTCATACATCCACCTCCTGTTTTGTGACAGATGTGGGTTTGGGTTTTTTTGGTTTTAAGTAATGCATATTTTTAAGTCATTAAGTTCTATGACAAGAGGCAGATTTCACAGTAAATTCTGTTGCTGAGGTCAAAATTGKAGTGCTCCTGAGCTTACCTGGAAGGTCTGCATCTCTCAAGTAATTTACTCAGTTTTCACAGTTGTAGTTAAAACTAACTTCATTCGCCTTCCTTCCCAATACACTTGTGTCAGGCAGGAGTAATGTAATTTTACTTGATAGAAGATTGTAAAGGACAGAAATTAATGAGAATATTTATAGCGGCACAGGAGAGAGGAATTTGGAACTGGTTCTGTCTAAAGAGAATTAGCTTTTAAATTTTGCAGGGAGACGAACTGGGGAGTTTTTCATCACCTAGCTTGGGCCTATGCCTAAGTACTACTTAACATTTTTTTGTGTTAGTTTAACAGYTCTTKGTGAACTGACTGTAAGGCTTAGTCYGACTGTTTCTGTAACTGGGCAAAATGAAATTAGTCTGGATATCCTTGCAGCCAACAAGTGAGTCCTTCAGATGGTGAAAAACTGTCTTGTGGCTCCATCTTCCCTGGGCTCTGTCATTTGTGTAGGTGGCAACAGCTGCATCAGTTATTCGATAGCCATGAATCTTGTCAGGTTCTTATGAGGATTTTAAAGAAMGTAAATAATCAGCTTTTGCTGCCTGCTTGCAGCTTACATCACTTCACTTAAGCTATTTARTGCTGTTGAGACAAATGTCAGTATTTTGAACTCATTACTTTTTCCTTGTGCTGGGCAAGTATAAATTTTTATTGCTGTGCTGAAACAAACAGTGCTTAGTGCATTGATTTTTCTGTCTTGTCCCAGAGGCAACTTCTTAGTACAGGCAAAGTAAAATGCTGCTCAGTACCCAACAATTCCTCTGCTGCAAGACAAGATGGACTATTTTTAGGCCATACCTGACAAGTCGTTGTCTGATGTGTTTGCGGGAGATCTCAAGGTGTTTCTACTCTTAATGAAGAAATATGTTGTAAAGTCTCTTTTTTTTTTTTTTTTTTTTTTTTTTTTTTTTTTTTCTTGTTTGTCCTCTTATCCTTTTATTCTGATCTTTGGTAGACAAGGCAAACAATTTTTCTTTCAGTTTTCTTTGTAGTTGCAGGTTGCTTAACAGCTCCTTTTTTCTCTCTCCCTAGATTAAGTAATTTGAGTTATTTAGTCTGCAATTACATGTTATACCCTTATTAGTCTTACTRTTCTCCTCTTATGTGCACTTCAGTCGTCCTTACTTTTGCTTAAAATATAACACTGAAAAAATCGACAGTATCTGCCTGGTATATTGATATCAGGGACTATGAGAAGAGTGCTGTGTCTTGCAAATCATTGCACTTAGTTATTTCTTTTTCTGAGCAGTTTGTGATCTGCTGTAGCAGCAGCTCCTGCTAATTGACTCACTCTGCTTTCATGTTTATGCAGTTCATTAAATATATAATTAAATATATAGTGTAGTTCTTGTATTTGTTAAAATTGCATTACATCTTTGCATTCAGATCCCCTCTCCAGTTTCAAGATCTTGTTAATTTTGATCTTTTCCTGTAACAGACTTGCAGTGCTGTGATACCTGTGGGTTTCATGAGGATACACTGTGTTCAAAGGAAGGATTCTTGCTGCCTGCCTCAAAATTGATCCTTTCATTTTGGTAGTTWAGTGAGCAAAGGCAAAATTTCCCACAATTTGCTCTTACTAGGCCATGTTTCTGTAGCAGTTTTTAGAATATAATTCAAATGTCAAGATGTCTGTAGGTCCTCTGAAGAAGCCTATCCAGTCATAAAAACAAAGGTTAATTTGACTTAAGATATTTTTCACTTGACCATGTTTATTAGTTCTTTCCATGTTATTTTCTCTGTGGTTGATAGTTGTATCTAGCTTAGTGTTTTTTCTGGAAAATGGAATCAGGTTAAATGGTCTCTGGCTTCTCTATGTCTTCTCTTAACACCTTTTTCTTTAAAATGGTGTGTTACTGTCTTCCAGATTTGAAAAACTCATTTTGTGGCTTTGAGTTGTAATCAGGGAGTGATTTGTGTTGGAACAGACCCTAAAGACCATCTAGTTCCAACAGCATGCCATGGACAGGGRCAGGACACTTTCCACTAGACCAGGTTGCTCGGAGCCCCATCTGGCCTGGCCTTGAACATTTCCAAGGATGGACATCCACAGCATTTCTGGGCAGTCTGTTCCAGTGCCTCATCCAGCCTCACAGCAAACAAATTCTTTGTAAAAGCTAAATTTCCCTCTTTCAGCTTGAAGCCATTCCACCTTGTCCTGTCACTGCATGCCCTTGTACATGGTGCCTCTCAAGCTCTCCTGTGGTCCCCTTTAGGTGTTTGAAGACTGCTCAAAGGTCTCACTGGAGCCKCTTGTCTGGGCTGAGCAGCTCCA